TTTGCTACAGAAAAGAGGTTCAGGTTTATCCTTAAACCAGGGGACCAAATTACTTTAGCATGTGGGCTGTGTTTTTAATGAGTTAGAATTATAAAATGTTTTCTGCCCAGTGAGAATTATTAATGAAAAGAACTGAGAATGAGGAAAACAGATATTGGTGAAAATGATGATGGTGGTGATGACTCATTAAAAGCGTTAAAATGATTAAAGAAATGAATGTTAAAGGTTAAAAAGGAAATTTGAAGGTGAGCTTTCTAGAGTGATTAAATGGACAAAGCCCTTGCGTCCTGTGGAAGATCAAATGGCATGCATTCTACAAAAAGAAACAGAAATTCCTCAGTATAGGAAACCTTAAAAAAAAAACCACACACACACAGACACCTCTGTTCACTTTATTCCCTGAATTAGTCCCATTCTGCTATATGTAAAATATATTAGGAACAGCACATTTACCTGGGTTTTCTTTTACCCCGGAGCTGAAATGAATCTTATTATCTAATACTGAGGAAAATTTGCACGTCTGCCTTTCATTCATTCAATGACAAAATTTGAAATCCCAATTTAAGTGTACACTTTACTTTGGAATTAATGCCAAGAATCCTTCTGTCTGACATCCTTATCCTCCGCAACTGGAAAATATGGGTGGGGTGGGGTGGAAAATTGAAATTATTAACTAGTAGAAAGCTCCAGTTTGAAAAGACAAGACAAGGAAAGGAAAGAAAGGGAAAAGAAACACAAAGCATGACAGAGGCACTTTCTGGAGAAATGTATGTATTATGATTACAATACTTTGTACTTATTTTTTGATTGTATGACGTTTTCATTAAGTTTCTTAATTATGGGAAACAGCTCAAATGAAATGGTTTTTAGAAGACGGTGCAAAAACATAGACTTTGATCAACAAATGGAAGGCCTCCTTTGGTTCATCTAGCTGAGAGTGTCTCTGAATGTTTACTAAAGGTACTTAAAACCTTGAACACAATGCAGTCATAAGTAGAAGCCAACTCTAGTATTCTATTATTCTTTTTTTAAAAACACAAAACTTTTTGGGATGCAAAAATTTGGTTAGAACTGGGATCAACATGGAAGTGAGTATTTGAGTCTTATCCTTGATTCACATGTATGGTGCCCTGTGTCGAAGTTTGTAAACATATGAAAACTCTTAACTGTGGGCAGGACCCAAATCTTATTTTATGGGGCCTTGTACAAACCTTGACGTGTTCTTCTCTCCACATTGACATGACAATTTCTCATCTTATAAACGTCCTCAGACATGATTCTCAAGCCCGAAGTTCCATGAGCAGAACTCGACTCATGAGATGGCCCATAAATTGTTTATTATAAGGATTGTTTCTATCGCATAATCAAGTTATTCTATGATTCATGCTTTACAAAGTATAAGTAAAGTTTAGCTGCCCAGAGTAGACTTTGGTCTAGATCGGTGGGGTATAAATTTAATAAATAAATAAAATAAAATAAGAGCATGATCTCTGCACTAAGGCATCTTGAACCCTTTATCAATGTATGTATACATCTAGGCAGGTTACATAGTACATGGGAATAGAGGATTGCATTCAAATAATCCATGGAACCCACTTTCCCATAGGGTATTGCACTGCTAAGTGCATACACTTCGTATTACTTTGTATTCTACATCCTTAGCCAAAAACCACTTATGATGGATTTCACTACATTAATGTTGAGAGGAATTTTTATAAGCTCTAAAGACATATTCATGAAGGCAAGTGGAGCAAATCAGGTGAAATCCACTTCATCTGTCACCGTGGTTCCAAGCCTTGGGTCCCCAGATGTAATTGGACTGCACTTGCCAGGAATACCAGCCAGCACAGCTAGTGGTGAAGGCATCTGAGAGATTTAGTCCAAGAACATCTGTGGACCCAAGGTTGGGAACCACGTCATCGAGTATAATTAGTTTGCGGTTTATGAATTAGAGCCAATGTGGTGAGGCAATTAGAGTGATGGGTCATGGCTTGGGAAATCAGGGTTCTTGGACTCACCAAGACATGAAACTAATGGGGTGTCCTTGAACCAATCAATTTCTCTCGATCTGACCTACCTCACAAGGTTGTGACCATAAAGAAGAAAGGCATGTTACACTGCTTTGGATCTGCTGGGGAAATGAAATAAATAAATAAATACAAAAGGTCTATAAAAAGCCTAACTTAAATCTTTACATTGTGTAACTCTACTCATTGCAAAAAGGAGGAGGAGGAGGAGAGGAGAAGAAAGGGAGGGAGGGAGGGCAGACTGTATCCAGATGAATTAGAGACACAGCCAAGTGATTTATGATCCCCTCGGGAAAAACGGGACTCTGGAAAACTAGCTCTAGTCCTACCATTGTAGATGGGACCGAAACTCTTTGCAGGGCCCAATATGGCAACCCTACACTGAGGTGGATGTGTGAGTATTAGCTCTTTGCAGGGCCCAATATGGCAACCCTATGGCAACCCTACACTGAGGTGCATGTGTATTAAATTTGTGGGTGTTTGCACTGTCTCCTTCTCACTTTCTTTCCCACAAAGGTGCTTATTTCGTTTCTTTTTCCTTCCCTTTTCTTTTGGCCTGAATTCAATAATAGGAAGATTGAATAATGGGGGGGGAGTTTGCATGTATTTGTGTCAATTAACATCAGCAAACGAGAACTGTGCTTTCAATTCCCTCTTTTTTGAATGGTGGCTACGATAGATTTACAGATACTTTGAACCACTGGGCATCCTGGATGACCAATTTTCTGGTGTGTTTGTGGTTAAATTTTACTCTGCTTGGCATGCGGATGCTTCAGGCTCTGTAACTGATACATTCCAACCCCCTAACTCTCACACCATGTGAAATGAGGCTATGCAATGTTTTCAGCCCAACCCCATTAATCAGATGTATGTTTGCTGCTAAGTAATAATATGTAGGATTGCAGTGCAATTTACTGGAATGGGTGTGCATACTCACAAATGCTTTCAAGATTGGGGACTAACGTTTTACACTACGTATTTAGCATTATCTGAAACAGGAGAGACATGTGTCCAGACAGTTATCAGACTTCCCCCTCCCTCCTTAATTAGGTGTTATTCTTAATTAATTTTGTTAAAATGCAGCCTTGAAGTATATTTTGTAGGCACATCTTTAATAGCCACACTATTGCTGCAACAATGGTCTGCCATTGTTCTATGGGATAAACACGCCATCTGACTAAAAACCCATATTTATTTCCCTAATTTTATAAACATTTAATAGGTCCTTATTAAACACATCAGCCAGCATGATTTAATAACACAATCAGTCTAGAAGTTTGAGAAAATTGAAAACAGGATTTGAATGTAATACAGCCACAATTACCGGAGATTATAGACAATCATTTCCATATGTCTGCAATGGAGAGCTGCTAATCTCTGTTTGCATGGAGGTGATTTCCCCTGGAACACTTCCCAGCCTTCAACAGCACTAGTGCTGAACAAATTAGATTTGAAAGTCCCCCATTTTATAACGAAGGTAATATACTCGGTGTGTTTGGAGAAACATGGAGTTTCTATTTTAACTGGCTTCCAAAAGGTGGACAGAGACCTTCCCCTCATTTGGTTTGGCTACATTATGTTATATGGTAGTTAATGTTTTTCCAAGGGTCAGTGCATGTTTAGGGGGTGCAGTCACAGACACACAGAGAGAAAGCCTCTCTACCCACAAGGCCCTGAAACATTTGGTGACATCATGATCGGGGAATGCAAAGCAATTAGCTTAGATCAGAATACTGCACGCTGCTTGAGGCATGGGAACACACTTCTTATTTTTAGAGTCCTCCTAACACCTTACCTCCTGATCTGCATCTTATGAGGCTCTGAATAGAGGTGTTTGTGTGTTCCAAATGTAGAAGAATTCAGAAGGCAGAAAGTAAGCTTTTTGTGTGACATTGACTAAACCTGCACAGCTCCAGTTGAAATTGTGAGTGTGCTTTGGAAAGGTTCCTGCCTCCTAAACCCAAAGAGCAATGAACTCTGAATATTCCCAACATGCAGCATCTTTTTGTAGTCACCGTCGAGCAGAATGCACATGAAGCCAAAACTTGGAAGTAGTTACTAAAATATCCAGCTAGCTGTAATTTGTTTCTTTTCTTCTCCCTCAAAAGCCAGCACTCAACTACATTTTTGTTGTTGTTGTTTTTTAGTCGTTAAGTCCTGTCCGACTCTTCGTGACCCCATGAGCATGTCATGCCCTCCTGTCTTCTTAACTTCTGTAACTACATTATAGTTTCATTTTTAAAGAGAGATAATTTGATTACTTCCATAACATAACTTTAAAAGGACAGTTACTTTTATAGTTATAGCAGGGATGTTGGCAAGTCTTTAGATTCGTGTCCCAAGTCCAAGTCTGAGTCTTTGGTACCAAGTCTCGACTCCCAAGTCTGATTCCCTATTCAAAACAAGTCTTTTTCCCCAGAAAAAAAGAGAGAGGGGTGGCTGTCGCAAGCTGAGTCCAAGTCATTGGAAAAAAACTGAACTGAGTCACTGGTGCGACTTAAGTCCAACTTGACAAGTGAGTTCCACCACTCGAGTCCCCTAGAACTCTAAATTATAGAGGTGTCATCTCGCAGAATGGTGGAGGGACGAAGAATATATATGTTGCCTTGTGCTCTGTTGTGGGTGCTGAGGTGTCAACAAGTTGGACAGGAGGGCAATGTGTTTTATACTGCAGGCCAGTGATTTGTACCATTCACATGTTTTACTAGAAAGTAACTCAAAGGGTTATTTTTGTTACTTTTGAGAAATGGGGAGGTAAACTGTTGTTTTCTAAAAACTAAAATGGTAATCGTAATAATTTTTCAGGGACTTGGAACAATAATTCCTATTTTTAAAAAAAACACCAATTTGTGTTGTATTTTAACCTTTCTACATATTCAAAAGCAGGATTTTGGAATATTTGTTGAGTCAGCTTTGCCTTTGGACCTTGCTTTTGATCCCTCTTTCCATAGCTGCTATGGGATTCATGAGGAGAGGTACGAAGCCACAGAAAAACATCGTAGTGAAAGGCAATTCCATTTTGTCTCAAGGATGCCAGCACTAATTGAATCTGAAAGCAACAACTATATTTCCCCTCCATAAGTGGCTACTAGGTGGAACAATTATGAAATATGACCTCTTCCTAGAGGATTGGAGGGGAATGTCTCCAGCTGTCATCTCTGCATTGAAAAATGGTTCAGTGACTTTAGCCAGTAGTTTTATAATCGTTATTCCACGGCAGCTTGGCACAACCTGAGAAATGCTAGAGTTTGCAACTTCAAGGTAAGAGGCACGTTCACCATAGAGGTTGAAATCAGAATACATGTCATGAGTCAGTGGACGGGACTGTCATTAATTTTGTAAATTTTTATTGCAAGTAATTAACATAATATGCATCTCATTGTTATGATGATGCACAGATGTCACACTGCAGCTGGCAAATAGATTGCACTTTAATCTGGGCTGTTCTAGCTCAGACTTTGTTACCTTCAAATGCAAAAAAACCAAGGCATTAGCCTCTCATAGGGGTTTATTTATTTATTTATTTATTTATTTATTTAATTTTTATCCCGCCTATCTGGACCAACGGTTGTGGGGAATGAGAAATCATTTCATGTGGCTTTATAAAACAAAGAGCCTAAACTTGCCAATATATTCGTTATCAAGTTTAGTCATAGAAAGCTTGTTTAAAATGAAACATGAGGTTCCCAAAGACATAAGTAACACTCACAGGAAGCTCTGCACAAACTTTAACTAATTACTATCTGTGATTTCTGGAGCTTGCTTGCCTTTTTCTCAGTGAAATAATCTGAGGTTGTTTTAATAAATGCCTGGCTGATCCTATAGACCCTTCTGCAAAGCTGAGATGTTCCACTCATTAGGACTTCTTAGGGCATGGCAGGGTTGTTTGCTATATTTTCTTTGCTGTAAATTTGTTTGCTTTTAAAAGTGAAGATGATGCCAGTAAAATTCGGGGGGAAACTCCTTACACATGGCTAGCCACAGTTGCCTTTGGATATAATCCTGCACTCTGAAGAATCAGCAAGCAAAGCACAAGATACTGTCTGTAACGCCCTTGTATAAATCTCCCTCATGAGTTTTTTTTTACCTTATTTACCACTTTCTGTCAAGTTGCAATTACTCAGCTCAGACATCCACATCCAGGTAAGGCCTTTTGATGGTTTATCTTTCAGTGCCCCATTGCAATTTATCTGGAATCTGTTTTGCCTCATCTACTGAAGCCAAGCAATGGAGATTCAAGACAGGTAAAAGAAACACACAACACGTATTTCTGGAAATTTGCCATCAGACATGTAGTGGTAGCGCCCAGTTTGGACATCTTTAAAGGGTGGGATGATGAGATGAATGGATGGAACATGGGACTATCTGTGGCTACCGCTATTTTTGGTTATCTGTCACCCCGGGTTTCAGAGGCCTAACATACATGCTGACCCCTGAGTACCAGTTACTGGGAAATACAAGCAAGAATATGTTACAGTACGCTGATGACACACAGCTCTACATCTCCTTTACACCAACTTCAGTGGATGCCGTCCGGTCCCTCCAGCGTTGCCTGGACACTGTACTTGAATGGATGCAGTCAAATGGATTGAGGCTGAACCCGGACAAGACGGAGGTCTTGAGGGTGGGCGGCCCTTCCGTCAGCGGCATAGGTGACTCCCTCTCCTTTGGAGGGACGACCCTTGCCACAAAGAGTAAGGTCCGCAGCTTGGGAATACATCTGGACCCGGCGCTTACCATGGAAACCCAAGTGGTGTCCATGGTCCGCTCTGCCTATTTTCATCTATGGTGGATTGCCCAGCTGTGACCATATCTTGATCGGGGGGCCCTCACTACTCTAGTCCATGCGCTCGTAATCTCGAGATTAGATCATTGTAATGCACTCTGCGTGGGGCTGCCTTTGAGGCTGACGCAGAAACTTCAGATGGTCCAGAATGCAGCAGCCAGGCTCCTTAGTGGGGTGAGAAAACACCAGCATATCTCCCCCACCCTGGCTGCTTTGCACTGATTGCCTATCCGTTTCCGCGTTGACTTCAAGGTGTTAATGATTACATATAAAGCCCTAAACGGTTTGGGACCTCAATATTTGGCAGATCGTCTTCTCCCACCCAGATCTACCCGGATCACTCGATATAGCCAGCAGGGGCGACTGAGGGGTCTGACGCCGAGAGAGGCCCGGAAGGTAAAAACAAGAAACCAGGCCTTCTCGGCGGTGGCTCCTCGGCTGTGGAACGCCCTTCCAACAGAAATTCGGCTGGCACCCTCGCTGGGTGTTTTTAAAAGCCAGTTAAAAACTTGGTTATTCAAGCAGGCCTTCCCTCCAGTCAATTAAGTATTTCTCTTTTTCTTTTTCTTTGCTATTCCATCTTGGTAATCCTCTCTTTAAATTAATTGTTTTAAATTGAAACTGTAGTTGTAATTTTTATGATTTTATATATTTTTATACTGTTTTGTTTTATTTTGTAAGCCGCCCCGAGTAGACATGGTCTAGAGGGGCGGGGTAAAAATCAAATAAATAAATAAATAAATAAATAAATAAATAAATAAATAAATAAATAAATAAATAAATAAATAAATAAATAAATAAATAAATAAAATTTTATTGCATTTCTGTCCTGCTTATGACTTTTCAGAGGAATCTGGTTGAGTGTTGTGGGAACAGGAGTTTAGAACCAGCCTTTGGTAAGACCCAGAATGACTGTTTGTTGTCCTTCCACAAGCAGGCGAAGACCTTTCCCTTTAGGTAAGATTTATTGGCTGTCTGAGAAGGGTTTTTAAAGGGATGTAGTGCCTTACTGCTTTGAGTGTGTTTTTGGTGTTGCTTTTGTTTACTGACTTTTGGCGCGGTATTTGTTTGATCCTTTTTAGTATTTGTATACTTACTTTTTTAAGCTTTAAATATTGTCTTTTAATGATGAAAGATACTTTAGGTCCTTCTTAAGGAGAATGGAAGGTGGGGCAAAAATCTTTTAAATAATAATAAATAAAGCCATTGTGGGATGACTTTACCTGGATAACTCTACCAGCATAGTTGGTTTTCAGTTATTGAAGACTTCTTTCATCTTCCCAATGGATGAAAAGAATTGCAGAGGACCTTTGGGATTTTCAAGGCAGGGGAATTTGAAATGTTTATTTGTGAAAAATCACTGGATTTCAGCCAGTAATTATGTATAACGTGGACTAGTAATTATATACACTAGCACCATATTTGCATATATTAACGTAAATCAGCAGGTGCAAATCGAAAGTCTTCACTTTTTTTGTGAGACTCTTGTCTGCCATGTTGTCCTGTTTGCTGATTGCAAACTCTCCTTTCAGTGGTTACTATCAAAAGTAAGATAGTACATTTGCTTGCTCCGGTAAGAGCTTGAAGGGGAGTTTGAGGGTGGCCTGTGCTAGATGTGCATAGCCTATTGAGGTTCAAAGATCATAAAGAGAAGCAGCATGACAAGCAAATGCTGAGAAGGCAGCTGAGAATGAGGCATCAGAATATGGACACTCAGAACTGCCTTCACCCTCTGCTTTCTGAGCTACTTTTTAAAAACAGTGTTGTAAAGCATCATATATTTTTTTTCATTCTCAAAATGAGGTATTAATGCCAGATAGTTAAAAGAAATGAATTTTCTAATTCATAGTATAATCCATAGTAATGCAGAAATACAATATAGGTGCAAGAGCCATTAAAACTATGATCCTTGACCATAAGCAATTTATAACTAGAATGATTCCAAATTTTAAAAGTAGGGAAACATTTATTAGGCTGTGGTTCACTTTCTACCTTTATGCACTTACATAAATTCGCACACATACACATACACATATACTTTTTTTTGTTCTACTGGAGTCTGGGGTGTTGCATTTGCAATATTGTTTCTTGGCTTCCTTTCTGTATTTAAATCCAGGGTTGATTATTTTTTGAAATGGCTACTTATTAATACATGTATGTTACACATATACTTGGCTGTTCCAATGATAAAAATTCAATTCACAATTCAGTGCCCTCCCCCCAGAAAATGTGTGCCCAGAAACAGGAACTTATGAACACAGGAGACTTTACACACTGATGGAATAGAGAAGAAAGAGAAAGAAACAAACTCAGACCTCCTTAGGGACAGCCAAGACAAGGACATCAGAGATTGAAGCAGACAGCAAATTAGTGTAAGAGCTTTCTAAGGTCAGTTCAAACACTAATGCCTGCCCATGGGAGCACCACCAAAAGCATTTCCCTATGGTACACTGGTTCCCAAACTTGGATCTCCAGATGCCACTTGACTATGAAAATCCCTCAGTGCTCACCACATTGGCTGGGACATCTGGGAACTGAAGTCCAACAACATCTGTCCAGCAACATCTGGGAACCCATTCTGTACGAGAAAAAAACATATCAAAGATTTTTTTAAAATATCTTTGTGGTGAAAACGAGTAAACAAAAATATTTGGGTCAGTGTTTAGAGAAGATAGGGCACACGTGTCAAACTCAAGGCCCGTGGGCCGAATCCAGCCCGCCAGGCCGTTTCATGTGGCCCTCACAGTGTTGCCTGCTACTATGCAGTATACAATATGCAGACACTTACTTGGTCACCCATAATGCTCCACAAGGATGCTGAGAATCTGCCCAGTGGGATTTCTAAGCAGCAAAGAGCCAGAAAGTGCAGCCGCCTGGGCGGCTTGCAGCGCCTTGGGAAATGTAGTCCTTACTATTGCCCACTCCTGTTCTTACCTTTATACAGTCTTACAGATACAACCGGCCCTTTGAGGGCAACCATAATGCTTATGTGGCCCAGGATGAAATTGAATTTGACACCTCTGAGATAGGGGCTAAAATTGCCCTCAACTCCCGTAGGATTAGAAATATCTTTTTTTATGGTAATGGAGGAAAAACTAGCCCAGACCAAATGCTCTACAAACTCACAGATTGTTAATATGCAGTTTAATTTTGAACAGTCTTGACTATGAACCCTGTTCCTTCCTTCCCTGAATCCTTGTGCAACCACCATTTCTGTCCCCTGAAACATGTGTATAGTAACTATATATTTGCATCCTAAACTCATTATGAGTTACATGCAGTGCATTGAAATAAAGAAGCCTGCCATAGGATGTGTATATTGAGCATTAACCAGCATTTGAATGATTCAGTGAAGGCATAGTTGGTATGTGAATTCACACAGATTACCAGCCAGCTTTGAATTACCATGTAGCTAACTCTGTTTTCATTTCTTTGTTCCAGTAGTTAATCGCCTATTATGTAATTTTCTGTCTTATTCACATCCAGTTCATTTTTAGTAGCTGGATACAAGTTGAGAAGATGATAAATCTCTTACATGATTGTTCCATCTATGATTGAAATTATCTCCACAATATACTTTTCCAGTTTATTATAATGTACAAGGAAGTTTAGAAGCCTAATCCTTTGCTCAGAAAAAAAAAATATTAACATTTTAATTAGAGAAGCTGCTCTGTATTTAGCATCATCAACAGGATTTTCACATCAATTAGTCATGGAAATTAAGCACATGTTTACATTCTGATGTCCAATTATAAAACAAGGCACACTGGAAGGTGAGAAAAGTTGTATGCTAGACCTAGAACAAACCCCTTTCACAACTTAAGCGAATGAATGGTCAGTGTATATGATAAAAAGAATTACTGTAATATGCTTTAACATAAGCATATCAGTTTACTTTGTGTTCAAAGAGGGGAAACAGTATAACCAAGGGACTTCTCATTTTGTTAGGCACCTTAATATAGAATCCTTCAGATAAGGTGCAGGGATACAAATACAGTGGTGCCTCGCTTAACGATTTTAATTGGTTCCCAAAAAAAATCGCTATGTAAAAACATCGTTAAGCGAAACACCATTTCCCATAGAGATGCACTGAAAACCGGATAATCCGTTCCAATTGGAACGGATTACCGTCTTTAAGCGAAAATCCCTATAGGAAAAAATATTAAGTGAAACCCATTGAAATGCATTGAAGCCTATTTC